ATCCGTCTTAATCACCACAAACGAAAAATGAACAGTGTCACCATATTCCACCTTGTGCGAGAGGCATTCTTCTCTGTCTATTACAAATCTGATCCCGAAAGCCCCGCCGATACTCGCCATAATTACTACCGCTGCCACCGCCGCAATCGAAAGCCTCATCTGAAGCCCAATCGGGAAAAAACCCATTATTTCTAACAACAACAAATTACAATGAAAACGAGAAAAAAAACAAAAAAAAAAGACGAATTTTTCTCACCTTTATTTCCCAAAGGAAAAAAATTATACAAAATTAAACAGATTTGTTCCCCTTCTATTTTATCGTACGGGAAGCTTCGATTTTGAGAACTTCGCTTGTAACTTGGCAGAGTAGAAGTATCTTGGTTTCACAGAGTTTTGATTGTCCGCGACAAGAGCATGAAGGTTGAGGTGGTCGCGTTTACGTGTAGTAACCAATAAGAAACCACCACGTAATGTTGCAAATTTCTGCGTTGGGGTAGATTTAATGGACATTTTAACTTTTTGCCACAACTTTAGCAAAATATAACAAATCTACCCTTAACCTTTTTCTTGTCATAATTCACTCTCCAACCTTCCAATTACTTAGCAAAACTCATAACTCCTTCTATTTTGGTCGATAAATGATGAATTTGCGCTTTTCTTTCAATAAAAAAAAATAATATAAAGCAATAATAAAAAAAAAGGAGTTTAATAACTTTTTAAAAAGTGCAAATAAATTTCATTTATAACAATTAAATATATATTGACACACAACAAAAAAATAATAATAAAAAAGAATCATCTTTCCGAACTAAGGTGGTGATGTGTCGGTTGGTGATTTAGGTAGGATTTGATTGGGGTGGAGAAATAGAATTAGGACAATTCCATTTGTACCGAATTTTTTGTATCAAAATTGTTACACCCTCTCACATGCGCGCGAGGCCCGCATAAATAAAAAATTCACAAATGTGTGAGCCTCACACCCTATTGTGAGTGTAGGTAAAAAATTAAGAGTGTATTTGGTAGAGATTAAAATTGAACAACTAACCGTTATTGTTGACTTTTATTAGAGGAGTGATACCCAATGACGGCTATATTTTCAATTTTAATTGGATTTTAATTCCTCCCAAACAAGTTCTAAGTAAAAAAATGAATGTACATGTAGCATTATCCATAGAATTATGCTATTTGCACATTACTTTCTTTACATCATAATTGACATCATCTATGTTGCCAACCATTGATTGGATGAAAAAAATTGTTTTATTTTTAAACTGTCCAATGGTGTAATAACACGTAGCAGAGTGTAACATGTGATTTACAATTTTACACCAAGCATGATTCAAAAAAAAAAATTCCCTTCTTTTTTATTTAATTATTTTA